CCCCAAAACCCCAAAACCCCAAAACCCCTAGAATCAAAATTTTGATCTTTTTGGTATTTAAAGTAAAAAGTTCAATTTTAGATTAATTTATTAATTGCTTGATCTACTTCAATAATTTTTAACAATTATTTGTAATATATTTATCAGAATAGCAAAAATAGTACAATAGTTATTCATCAAATGGCTGAAAATTACATGATTTCAGATAGTCGAATTGTGAATATGGAGGAAATCTAGGACATCAAGGACTATATACTTTGTGGAATATGCTATCAAGTTGTGACAGAGGAAAGAGAACCAGTTGAATGCAATAAATGCCATAACTAATTATTTTGTTCTCAATGCATTTCGGGGTGGGCTAAAACCAACTAAAGCTGTCCATATTGCCACGCAGGCAGTGCTCAATACGTTGACATCTCTCCACTGCTTCTAAATATGATCAAAGGCATAAAATACTTCTGCTAGTTTCAAAGCAAGGGTTGTGGGGAAACTCACTCGATGAAAACTCTAATGAAGCATGAATTCCAATGTAGCTATGGGCTTGAAGACACTAATAATCAAGATAAATTAACTGAATGTGCTTTTTGTCGCTAAGCCCTTCCCAGCAATCAAGACTACTTTGATGAGAATCAAGCTTTCTTGCAATAGTAATTCAATTCTAATGAAGAACATTTCTGTGTGGAGGTTGAAAAATCTTGGTGTCATAGGCATAGAGAGATTGGTATGAGGTATGATGAAAGCAGGATAGCAAATTTAGGGGAGTTCCAAAGATACTTTGAACTGTTCAAATGCAATCTTTGCCATCAACTGCTGCGAAATCCATAGGCATGCAAAACCTGCAAGATAAACTACTGCAAGCACTGTATCTCAAACCAGCTGATATTGAGAAATGCTTGTCCTTCGTGCTATCAACCAAACCCATCTTACTCTAAAATACCTAGAAACTTGTTTCACCTTCTTAGCAGATTTAAAATCTACTGCAAAAATAAAGGAGAGGGCTGCAATGAGATATTACTTTATGAATCTGTTGAGAAACATGAAAATACCTGCAGGTAATGCTTACTTTGTAAAGTCAAGTGCCTTAAGTGTGAATAAGTGATTCAGATAGAAGATTAGCCCTCTCATTAGTGTCATATAAAGCTGAACTAAGTTTAAGATGCAATATATGATGCGCCTGTCCTTGATGGCTTGGAGAATTCATCATTAAACAGCATTGAAGATAACGATCATTATCATTAAGAGCATGGAGATTTTCGACAAAGAATGTCATATTGCAAAAGAATGAAAAAAGACACACAGTAGTACGTATCACAATGCCCTTTTATCCTGACTATGATAATCATGCTTATTGATTTCGCTGTTTAGAATGCATTGCTGACATTCTATATTCTGTACTATATATTTGAAGACTTTATTAATGAGCCAACCAGAAGAGCTCAACTTGCTTTTACCATAATCTACTTCATTGTGACATTTATACCATTTTATTTCTCAGTATTTACACCAACCAAAGAAATCTAGGTTCTTAGCTAAAAGCTTGGGCTGATGATTGGCTGTTTATTGTCAGCTCATTTCTTATTCTTTATATTCGGCCCATTCGTCTCTGGATTTAGAGACTTAAATTACAGGCTGAGAGAAAGTATGATAGAAAGCACTATTTGCAGAAATATTGCTTAGATTTTTATTCAAGTCACGTTCATTACTATTTTAGCTATTAATGAGGTGGACACTGCAATAAAAGGACTGACTATTGGTCTAAGCAGCTTTTTGATTTTGTGGAATGTAGTTGTTTGCATTACTATCAATTTTAAACAATGACCTAATTGAGTAAAACTTGCCTAAAGATAATTTAAATTTATGAATATCTTCTATTAAATTATTAAATTTTCAAAAGCTCATCTAATTTCCTTTCATCCAGATTCTAACTATTAATGCTCTGATTGAATGTCTGACTTTATTAAACATGTGAGTCTTGTAGTGTTTAAACTAAGCTTTCCTCTCATTAATATCATCAAGAACTATGTGCTTGATTAGCTTGATGTTTTCTGGAGCATCTACAGAAGTCTACCATCTTCTCATGTTCTTATATATGCTACTGACATCGGCTAAACGATAGAGCAGAAAGTTAAGAAGACGAGGTATATCATTAATTAAGAAACGTTTAAAAGCCTTTCAAGTTACAGGCGTTCTATAATAAGTCTAGGATAGTTTAAGATTATCATATTAATGAAGTTCTAATACTCAGTATCTGAAGAAGAGTAATCTTGGAATCTATGATTACTGCACAAGATCCGATTCAGTATGATTCTAAGTGTACCACAGATCAGATTGGGAGAATCTCACTACAAGACAAGGTGATTCAATAGACTGAAATAGACTGAAATTAAAATGATTTAGTTTGGTGAGGTTGAGGCCAGTCATCTCGCAGTCATCAAAATTAGTGGGACTATCAATTCAACAGCTTGACCTTATGATTTATATTCTTCCATTGAGCTATTAAGATGTCAATGTATTTGCTATTCTAATTTCATGAAAATAATTATCATTGAGCATTTTAATCTATAATTGCTTATATATTAGTATCTTGGGGTTTTGGGGTTTTGGGG